GCTAAAACAATTCAATTTAAAAAAATGGTATTCTGTTTGGTTATGAGCCACAGTTTAGGACAAATGAAAATGCCCATATTTACCTCTTATATTAAATCAGACCATCGGTTGCAAGATCTGATAAAAGCATTCAAAAAAGAGCTAGATAGATTCATGGAAGTTAGGTCCATCAATGGCTATTAGCCAGGATGGGTAGGAATAGTGACCTTAGCCTCTGTTTCTCTGGAGGTGGGTAACAGGGGAGTGATCACAGGAGGATTACCGGTTGTGTTTCTTCCCTCTGGGGTATCTGGTATTGGCCACTGTTGGCAGACAGGATACTGGGCTGGATGGACCGTTGTTCTGACCCAGTATGGCCGTTCTTAAGTAAAACTGCTCTGTCCTTCAGACATTAAGATAATACGGTTTTAAATCTACAAATATAAAGGGTTAGCTCTCCAAGGGGAAAAGGCAATTCTACTAACTCTACTAAGTGTACTCAACTTTACATGAGCACTAGAAAATATATCTGGCATTCCTCGGGTGCTTAATTAATTTTTCTTCACTTAAATCATTGCTGTGGGGTGGGGCTGGGGATGAGGGGTTCAGTACGCAGGCTGCCCTGGGAAAGAGGATTACCCCACCACCTCTCACGAAGCAGTATGGAGCCAGGTGAGAAGTAGGGATGTGTTAATGTACATGTTTAACCAATGAGTCTGGTCTCATGGGTTAACTTTAATGTTCAGGGCTTGACAAATAATGTGTAATCTACTCGCCATAGGCGAGTAGATTACAACCCGGAAGAGCCAGCGCAGAACGATCTGCGCATGCGCAGAGTGAAGAACCATGTGGCTGACGAGCAGGGCTCGCTGCCGCTTGGCAAGCCCTGTTAATGTTTATATGCAAGCCTCCTCCACTTCCCCCACATCCGGTGTTGCATCCAAATACCAGCTCTTGCAGAGCCCCCATCTGTGTGTAAATGTGTAACTGCTTAAAATTTTCAGCAGTTACACATTTACAAAAAAACAATTATTAATATTCCTAGTGAGAAGGACCTGTCCATGGCTACTGCACCTCTTTGCTCCCCAACCAGAGTGAGGAATGCAGAAAACTGTGCTTTTCCCCCTTGCTCCCTGATGAAAAGGAACAGCCATCAATATTCCTGTATGGCCCCCCACTCTCCATAAAGGATGCCTGGGGAGTGGGAGACTTGGGGCTGGGGCAGTTCTGGAGGGAGCATCTCCAGCCAGCCCCTTACACCTGCCCGGTGATTCCGTGTCTTTTCTGCATGGTTTTATGTACTCCAGCACGCATGGGAGAGGATGCTTTGCCATGGGTTGGTATCCTAGCTATCACCCCCACGCCCCAGAAGTGGCTGCATGTCATCGATCTCGTGCATAGGTAGTTTAGCAGACTCTGCGGGCCCCTTGGGAGGGAAGGGCCTTGGGGATATAAAGCAGCATTATACCTCTCTCAGCAGTTTCCAGCGGGCTCTAGCGGCTCCCTGTTTCCTTCCTTTCGGACCTTCCTCAGCGTCTACCTCTTCTTTTCCTCCTCGCAACTGACACGCGCCAGCAGGGACCGGGATGCTCCCTGGCCAGGCTGTAGCCTCCGTCATGCTGAGGTTGCTGGGAACAGGCGAGAGAGGAGCCGAGGGAAGCTCAAGGGGAAAAGAAGCCGCCAGGAAGGAAGAGCCGGGACCTGTGCGGACCAGAGGGAGGACTTGAGCTTACAGGCGCTGCGGCGAGGCCGTCCCAGGCTAGGGAGGAGGGACACAGCGGCCATCTTCACTTAGGGCAAGAAGTTTCCTGGCTTACATGTTTGTGCCCTTCCCGACATCATACGGCACCTCACCGGGGTTGCTGTGACCTGGAAGAGGTTTCACTACAAGGAAGCGTCCCGTTCTAATAAGAAACCCACATGTTATCTACCAAATTTTTTCATCGAAAGGGGCAGGGGCCCGGAAGCATTTTCAGGCCCGAAATGGGGGTTCAAATAGCAAAGAAAATGTGAATGTGCCTTAAAACTAACAAGGCAGATTATAGTAAGTCACTGTCAGCCCGACTGCCCATAACCAAGATGGCGGCGGCGCGCTCAGCTTTCGCCGACATCTTGAGTACTGGTAGCCGTGTACATAAAGCGGTACTAGTTCGGGCGCCATCTTGGATGTGGGCGTGCCTGGGAATGACTGTGCGCTGCTCTAACTGTAGGGAAGTCGGGCGGGGCTCCGGCGCGGAATAGAGTCGCTTTTCCGTGACGTCATGGTTGCCTTGGCGCCTTCTCGGAAGCAGCCTCATCTCCGGCAGCGGAGCGGGAGCCCTTTTACGGCCCTTCCCACTCTCCAGCAGCTTGTGCCGTGAGCCAGCGAGGACTCCGGTCCCTGCCTCCAGCAGGTCTGGGAGGGTCCGTCGTGGCCCCCGAGTGCCTGGCCCGCTGCTAGGCGTGAGTGGGGAACATGCGCCGGGCGCGCCTCCGCCTCGTGCCGGCTTGCGCGCGTGTCCAAGCGGTGCTTTAAGCCGCGGGCCGGGGCTGACGCGCAGTGTCCAGCCGGCCGGGGAAATCCCTCCCGTTTCACAGACTCAGCGAAGGGGTCACAGCTGGACTGGAGCGTGTGCGGGAGCTTGGCGGGGCCTGTCCCTCCCGCCCCCGGCCCGGCCAGGGCTGCCGGGTTTCGGTTTTACATTCCCTGCCGTTCACACGGCAGCTAACGTTTACCGCATTCCGTCTGAATCCTCGTTTGCTTTAAAGACTAGTCTCCTTTGAGGCAGTCCCAGCGTCAGTCTGACCATGAACGTATCAGGGGCCCGATTAAACTGACCTGACATCATTTTGGATTCTTGGCAAGTCTAGAGCAACCACAGTGTCAAGTGTTCGGTTTTACATTCCCTGCCGTTCACACGGCAGCTAACGTTTACCGCATTCCGTCTGAATCCTCGTTTGCTTTAAAGACTAGTCTCCTTTGAGGCAGTCCCAGCGTCAGTCTGACCATGAACGTATCAGGGGCCCGATTAAACTGACCTGACATCATTTTGGATTCTTGGCAAGTCTAGAGCAACCACAGTGTCAAGTGAAGATTTGCGCATCATGCATCAGACTGTGAAATCTTTTCTGAATACTCTGAACTTCAGTGTTGGTTGCTGCAGATACTACTTTAATCATAACTATGATCGGATAGTACGGTTTTGCAATCAAATAAAACCAAGAGAATTTCAGTTTACAAAGTGTTTGGAAAATTCATGGAAAAACACGGATTCGCCAGGCCACATTATGCCACAGAGATTCTTTTCTTGCAAGGTATGCAGTTTAAATATAAACATAATGCCAACAATCATCATAAAGTTGCCAATTTTGTTTGGATGTGCCCTGAAGACTATGCCAGTCCTGAAAGATCAGTGCTGTAGTATAAGGAAACATTTTTTCTCCAAAAGATTTTGAGATAGGGGAGTAGGGATTGGCATTTCAATTATACTCAGAGGCTAGGACTACACTTGTGCAAGAAGCATGTAGAAGAAGCCTTTTGTGCAAGAGTTTTTGTGCAAAAACTTCTTGCACAAGAGTACATCCACACCTCTTGGATGCTTTTGCTCAAGAAAGCTCTGATGGCCATTCACAGAGTGGCCATCAGAGCACCTGTGCTTTCCCTCCCCCCCCCCTCCCCCCCCCTGCTTTTTTTTGCGCAAGAAACCCCTCTGGAATGTCCACACTTGCCTTTTTGTGCAAGAATTCTTGCGCACACTGAGTTATGCCTCGTAAAAGGAGGTTTACATACAGCGGAAAAAGCCCTCTGTTCTGCTGTTTTATTCTTGATTTCCTTGCGCAAAAGCGCATTTGAGATGTGGATGCTCCATGGGTTTTTGTGCAAAAACCTTGCATTGTATACATAGCCAGAGACAAATGACCTTGTTCAATCTTTCAACTTATGTACTTCTCCATGATTACTCAATGAGTCAACTTTATTGTTGCACAGCCCTGGCTTGACACGTGTGTGAAGCCTCATTTCTTGGCAGACAAGTTTAGGGAAGCAAATGGATCAGAAAGCTGGAAACAGAAAAGGGGGAATAGAGGGAACCATTAATAGGTAATAGGGATGTTAGCTATTGAGTAATTTAATAGTCGAGTAACTGCATTAATTCTTACTGGTTACTCAACTATTCTATAGTCCCCGGGGGCAGAGCCACCAACCAGTGTGCTCTGGTCTCCTGGGGAGCCTCCTGCCATCCTGTACTACTACCTCTATATCAGGCAGCAGTGCAGGCTAGCATGGGAGCTGGTGTGCAATGGGAGCCAATTTAAAAACCAGCTGCCCTTGCAGACCACCTGCCTGCTGCACCATGCTGCTAACTCTAAGGAATGCTCCAGGAGATGCAGAGCAGCCTCTGTCTGCGGGGAGCTCAGACACACACCCCGCCCCTCCACAGACAGGGCTGCTACCACAAAGCAGTCTCTCCTACCCACCTGAAAGAGGCAGCAGCACTGCACGAGAGGGAGTCAGTTTTTAAGCAGTCTTCCCCAAGCGCTGGCTCCTTGCTGCCTCTGTATGGGGAGAGAATGCAAGTAGTCGACAAAATTAATCGATAAGTTTAGGCTTACTGGTTAATCATCTGGTTGACTATTCACTGACATCCGTATTAGGTAAGATAAAAATAGGCAAGATAAGCTTGGGACACAAGATGAGGAAAAAAGTGAATTGGGATTGGTTCCTACAAAGTAACCAAGTCAATCCCAAAATGTGTGATACAATATATAGTGAATGTAACAATGTATATAATAGAAGAAAATGTCTGTGCAACTGGTATTCCCTGTACCAATCCTGAGTAAGTATATAAGAGGTTAACTAGTTACCTGGTAAGCAGATGGCTTATCATCCTCTTTATGAGGTAACCAGTTAACTGGCCCAGCCAACTGGACCTTGCCCAAGGCAGCTAGCTGGTTAAACAAAACGTTTAAATGATTAACTATTTTAAGATGTTTTTACATCCCTAATCCCTATATTGAGCCTGATCAGTGGAAGCATAGTTTGATTGTATGCCATGCCAATAAAAAATAAACACACAGTGACCAGTTCAGAGTTGAACTGAGTTCTTGGAGGCTGCATCTAGACTGGCATGATTTTCTGCAAATGCTTTTAACGAAAAAGTTTTTCCGTTAAAAGCATTTGCGGAAAAGAGCGTCTAGATTGCCAATCTAGACGCGGTTTTGCGCAAGAAAGCCCCAATTGCCATTTTCGACATCGGGGCTTTTTTGCACAAAACAGTTTTTAGCTGTCTACACTGGCCCTCTTGCGCAAATATGTTTGCGCAAGAGGGCTTTTTCCCGAACGGGAGCAGCATAGTATTTGCGCAAGAACACTGATGATCTTACATTAGATCGTCAGTGTTCTTGCATAAATTCAAGCAGCCAGTGTAGACAGCTGGCAAGTTTTTCTGCAAAAGCAGCCACTTTTGCGGAAAAACTTGCCAGTCTAGACGCAGCCGGAAAGCAAACAGATACTATACATCCACTAGCCCCTGAGACTATCTCAGAAGCCACCCCACACTGTTCTGAATAGAAAAGATTTCAGAGGTTACCCCCAACATACTGTAGCTTTTTTTCTAAAATCTAAATATTTGCCAGAAAAATACTATTGGATTATCAGAACAGAACTGGAAAAACGCATAAGAATCTCCAGACTGAAGAGATCAGGATTTAACCATTTATAGCTGACACGCTCCATTACAAAACTTGTCCTTATCCATACAGACTAGTCCATCATGGTCAGCATCATTTTAGGTGATTTGACTCTGCAAAACTGTATTTAAGCACCATAACATTTTTCTAACAAAGGCAAGTCCACAGAAGATGGTTTACCTGCCGGTGTGTGTATGTGTATAAATTGGATCACCTTGTACTTTGTTGGTGTTTGCAGTAATATATCATATACTTAAAAAAAAAAAAACTAGAAGACTAAAATCCATCCAGCGTTGTCTGGGTTCAGCCTGGGCCGGGGTTGGGACCACAGAGCCTGGCTGCCAGCTTCTCCCTGGGTCAGCCCAGGGCTGGTGACGGGCCACACAGGCCTTCCATGGGCATTCCCCAGGCATGGCCAGGACGTGCAGTGAGGGGCTATGCAGGCCTTCTGCCAGTGCTCCCCAAGCCCAGCCCAAAGGCAGCGGGGGCTGTGCAGTGACCCGCAACGACTCCCTGGTGCAAGCTGGGGTGTTGGGTGCTGCCAGCCAGCAGCTTCTCACTGGGACACTTGGGCTACGTCTACACTGGCATGATTTAGTGCAAATACTCTTTAACGCAAGAGTTTTTGCATTAGAGTATTTGAGTAAGAGAGCTTCTATACCGGCATGTGCTTTTGCGCAAGAGAATCCGTGCCAATGTAGATGCTCTCTTGCACAAGACAGCTCTGATGGCCATTTAAACATCGGGCTTTCTTGCGCAAGAAATTGATGTTGCCTGTCTACACTAGCCTCTTGCGCAAGAACAGTCGCACAAAAGAGCTTATCCCTGAGCGGGAGCGTCAAACTATTTGTGCAAGAAGCACTGTTTTTATACATTAGAACGTCAGTGTTCTTGCGCAAGTACTCACAGCCAGTGTAGATAGGTGGCAAGATTTTTTCACAAAAGCACCTGCTTTTGTGCAAAATCTTGCCAATGTAGACATAGTCTTGCTGTGCCCCTGTGCTCATTCCCCAGCATAACTGTTCTTCCTACCTGACCCCTTCTTTTTCCAATTTATGAGAAACAGTTGACTACGAGATACATCGCATTGTCCTAGCACAACCAAAACCTGACCTTGCTTTAAGTTAGAATAAGAGGAAGCTGCAATACCAAATTTGGTGATCCTAGTTCTTATTGTTTAGAAGGCATTCTGGAACAGATGGACAAACAGACACACTTTTAAAAATATATAAATATGTAGTTTGTATATTTTCAGGTTCTGCTCTTGCCACTCTCTCTGCCAAGTTTTATGGTGGTACAGATATACTTTTTTATTTATTAAAAATGTTTATCTTCCTCTGTTGATTGTTCTCGAAAGTGAAAACTGACAAAGGCTCCAATTTTATAATTGGATCCATGGACAGCCCATTGAATCTGCACAGATTTATTTGGATTACCAAGTCCTATCTGACGGACTGTAGAGAGGAAACAGCAAAAATGATTTATACAGCATGCATTAAGGATCGTCGACTAGTCAATTCCCTCCCCTTACTGCTCCCCTTGTTGCCTCTGAGTGCCCCGCTGACCCCAGACTCCATCAGGGTGTTTCTGCTTTGAAATACCCTTTGAAATGCACAAGAGCCCTGTAAGCGCCCTTGTGGAGCCAGGAGTCAGCAGGACTTCCTGCTGTCCCGGGCTGCACAGGGAATTCCACATTCCTCCTTTGAAATGTACAAGAGCCCCAGTGGGGGCTCTCATATATTTCAAAGGAGGAGTGCGGAAGTGCCTATGGAGTAGTCAATGGAAATTCAATGGATTACTTGACTAGTAAATTACTGGTTAGTTAACATTCTTAGCATGCATGTTGAATGCATGCAATAAACAAAAAGCAGAGAAAAAAATTAATCTTTTAAAGTAATAATTGTCTTCAATAATAATACAATAATCTTTTTTAGTAATAAAATTGTGTTACTTGAAGTACACAGTATGTGAAATATTTTCAGACAGAAATAAGTTATTGTTTAGGATGACTTGAAAGTTAATTTCACAAGTTGAATTTCAGCCCCAGTCAATTTAAGTTCATTTTGCATTTTATAAGTGATGCTAAGTGACTGTGATAGACAAGAACATCTAACCATCACTTTGGACATCAGAGGCTGATTGCATTGATTTATTTGTAGCAGGATCTTCTGAAATCAGAGCAGGAGAACTGGAAAGTAACTTCAGCAAGATATATAGATATGGCAAAAAGAATCAAGAAAAAATTAGAAGTAATGTATAACAAGTATACATTCAGCATGGGCAACCCAATGGTGAGTGGCAAAAAAAATTAAAATGCATAATAACTTAGTACAAGTAAGAGGCAGTTGAAGCTGTTCTTACTATGAATGCCTTTATATTTCATGTTTTTTAAAATGTCATATGTTTGTAGTTCTGATTTTTAAATATTTTATAATTACAGAATATGTACAAAGAAGTTTGGAGTATGCTTATAGTATCTTAAATCTAATTGAACTATTTTACATAAACAGCAGTCTTAATATCACCATAGTCAGTAACAAGGAATGATAATTAATTAACAAATAGGATAAAGGTAAACTGTTTTTTTGTCAAATGATGTGGATTGTATGATAAAAATGAAGATTTAAGTGCTTTTAGCCATTCATTATATGGAGAGGGGAGTAGGAATGTCAACATGTAGTCAACTTTACGATTAACCAGTAAGCCTATGCTTATCAGTTAATGTTGTCAACTGCACACATTTCCCCCCACACCAGAGCCAGCAAGGGGGGGAAGCAGGATCCTGTGCTGGGGGGAGCCGACTTAAAAGCTGGTTCCTCCCAGCACCGGCTCCATGGTTTGGCCTATCCCCCTTCTCTGTGCTCCTGCCTCTATCAGAGCCTGGGTTTGCCGTGGACAAAGGCTGGTTCGCAGCAGCAGCCCCTGTCTGCGGAGTTGGGGAGGTGAGCAGCCTCTGTCCACAGGGAGCTCAGACTCTCCCACATCCCCCACGCACAAAAACAGCAGCTGCTGCCGAAGCTCCCTCTTTTCACAGCCAGCTTTGACCCCCCACGGACGGGGGCTGCTGCCGGACCAGTGTCTGTCCAAGGCTAGCCCAGACCCCGCACAGGCGGGGCTGCTGCCAGAGCAACATCTGCCCATGGTCAGCCCAGGCCACCGTGGACAGAGGCTGCTTTGTGTCAGTCTCCCTCACCCCAGCCCCCACAGACAGTGGCTGCTGCCACCCCGTGCTGCTGCTTCTATATCAGAGGCAATAGTGCAGGAGGCAGGCAGCTGATCCATTAGGGGAACTGGCTTTTAAATCAACTACCGTCGAAGATTGGCTTACGCCTGGCACTCCACGCTGCTGCCTCGAATATAGAGGTAGCAGCCCAGATAGCAGGGTGCTCCCTGGGAAGGAGGCCGGAATGCACTGGCTGCTGGTCCTGGGGACTTTAAAATAGTCAAGTAACCAATAAGAATTCATGCAGTTATTCGACTATTCAATTATCCGATAGCTAACATCCCTAGTGGGGAGATGGTAACTGGATTCTGAGCTTTTAATTCCTTGCAGTGATGGGATGACATAAACTACAATATCTTTGCTCCCTTCAACTCCAGTTCTAGAAATACTTGATTTTAATACCATGAATATTCTTATTGATGTCAGTTGTTCTGTTGTGATAGTTAAAGTTAAGCACATGCATATGTGTTTCCGGGATTGGTCCTTACTTCGTGAGCTTTATAGAAAACTCAGAATTTAGTTTAACTTTAATTAGTGAATTGACCTATTAAATATAAGTTGTTAGCAACTTTTTCTATTTGTAAATTACTTATTAGTAAATACTGTTATTGCTTTTATTTTCTTTAGTGAGACTATTCAGGTGCTTAATATTAAGCAGTTACATACGTGTTTGCAGACACAAAAATTAAGGGTCCAATCCTGGAAATATGTGGTTGGGTAACTTCCCATTATAGGTAATTCTGTTAAATTAGCTATTTATAAGATAATGCTTTTTGCTTGAGTAGTTAATAAGGAAATTACTTCTCCATTTGTTAATGTCTTACAGTTCCTTTAGAAAAAATGTTTTCCTCTTTCACTGCTCTGAATATGCCTAACAAAATCCTTCAGTGTAGCAAACACCTCTTTTATATTTTATATAGTGTGTACAGGCAGTCCCCGGGTTACGTACAAGATAGGGACTGTAGGTTTGTTCTTAAGTTGAATTTGTATGTAAGTCGGAACTGGTACATATTGTAGGGGAAACTCTAGCCAAACATTTCTCCAGAGCTCAGTTTTATTCTCCCACACCTCACTTCCCTCAGTCCTTTATTCTCAAGCTGAGGTGTCTGCTGAGAAAAGCCGCTCCGCATCTCCCTGGTCTGCTGGGGAGGGCGGGGGGGTGGGGGTGGCGCTAGCTTCGTGTCTCCCTGGTCTGCTGGGGGGAAGCAGCTAGTGCGCGGTTGCCTCACCCCGTTTGTAAGTAGGGATCTGATGTAAGTCGGATCCATGTAACCTGGGGACTGCCTGTATATAAAATATTATGCATTCATTGCTGAATTAGATTATATGTATAAATAAAACCATAGGCCTATTCATGTACTATATAACTTCAGTGGAAAACAGATTGTGTGTAGGAACTTTTAGGACTTATTTTGACCTTTAAGAGATGACCATGATTTAATTCTGTCTGTTTTGTGCTTAACAGATTAGGTTTGGGGATTGTGTTTACTTTGAAGAAAATGGCTGCATATTTCGTTCAAAAGCAGATGATGGTAAGATATTTCTTGGCTATTATAATTGCTCACATCTTTCCACGTGCATTGACTTTGTGGGATACTTTACTTAGCTTCAAGCTTAACCATCTCTGTTACTTGAAAATGTTTTGAAATTTTAAAACAAAAAATAGGTCAAATGATATTTTAAATGATAAAATGATTAAACAAATTGTAGAAAAGAAGTAAACACTTCAGAGTCCAGATTCTGGAAAGTGGGACAGGAAGTGGAGAATAATGTAGTATGATTACATGTATTAGGTTAATGTAATCAACAAAAGTCTCCAACTTTTTAAGGCCTAAAGGGATCACTATGATCATCTAGTCCAGTGTTTCTTGACCTTTTTTTTATAAAGCACCCCTTTAAAAAATATATATATAAGTACCCCCAGTACCAGCTGTTTTCAGACTCTCACATTTTTTTCTACCATTGCAACACATTTGTTTAAACAACTTAATGGTAGCCGGGCGAGCGATGACATTTTGGGGGGTAAAAAGTGCAAAAATCATAAAGCGTTGTAAAACTTAAAACAAAAATTCAGTTTTCTCCAAATTTCAGTTGTGTTGACGTACCCCTCAGACTTCTCTCTAGTACTCCTAAGGGTATTTGTACCACTGGTTGAGAAACACTGATCTAGTCTAACTTCATGCATGTTTCACGCTACAGAACCTTCCCCCTCCCATCCCATACCTCTGGCTGAACATAGTGAAGTCCTTTAAAGCATGATTTACTGATGTCAGGTTACAGAGAATCCACCATTTACTCTCGTTTAAACCAGCAAGTGACCTGTGCCCCGTGCTTCAGAGGAAAGTGAAAAGGGTGTTTACCAATTTGACCTGAGGGGAAATTCCTTCACATCCCCAAATCTAGCTGTCATTTGAACCTTGGGCACATCAGCAAGACCCACCAGACAAACACTTGAGAAGGAATTCTCTGTAATAACTCAGAGCCCTCCACCTCTTGTTCCCAATCTATAGCTATTGCGGATTTTTGCTAGTGACTGTCACAGATAGGCTACGTGCCATTCTAGGCAGTCTCATTATACCATCCCCTCCATAAACTTATCAAGCTCAGTCTTGAAATGAGAGGTTCTTTTTACACCAAGAGATGTGCTTGAGGGTGGACCTGGAACAGAGTTGGTTGGTAGGGAAGGGCTGGGGGCATTCCCCCCTCTCCCCTGGACCTACTGAGCTCTCCTGGTCATTCCTCCAACTCCCAATCCAAGGGTGCATGTCCTTCAAGTTGAGGTCTTCTGGTCTAACTTCAAACCTAAGCATGATGGCCTGTTTATATGTTTGTTCTTGTGTGAGCAGTAGCGCTTAAATACCAGGGAGGGAGAGGAGTTATCAACTTACATTAGTATCAAAAACTATATTGAGTTACAATGAAATTTCCATGATAAATTGTTGTTTTTAGTCAGCAGTTTGGGTGTATAGAAAATAGACCAATTCAGTGGGGGTAAATATAAGCAAAAATCAGTCATGCATTTTTTAATTCCAAAAGGTAAAGATTATTTAAAAACAGCAACAACAAAATATTTTTGCAGATATCATTAAACTCAGTTATGATAACTTTAGCATACATTAAGACAACTATTTGATACTAATAAATTGCACATTAGAAGAATATCAAAGCAAAATATAAAATACTGTTATTCATTGTGTTAGTTCTTGGATAATGTTGTCTGTATTCTTTTGTGTACTAGATGAAGGAAGTGTTGAATTTTTACTCAGTATTGAAGATCTTGGTTTTCATGATGCAATTATTCAGCGTATCAGAATTTCCCCAGACCAGGGGTATATGGCTACCAGCATAAATAACTCAAATACTGAAGAGTCAGTCTGTATTGTTATGAAACTTGAGAAGTTACCTGAGGTGGAATGTATTATCCCAAATGTGTTCAGTTTTGGTAAGTAGTTTGTAAATCTAATGTGGCAAAAGAAAACTCTCCATATATTGCAGCTTTGAATAAGTAATAATCTTTCTATATATAAAAAAGTTTTTCCTACTGACGTCATCACATCATCAGTGTCAACAGTCTCTCTCAGTGAAGTGAAAGCAGCCAGAGAGGATGCGATTGTAGTGAGCAGAGGGTATAGCACCCTAGTAGTTTAACTAAATAAAGGGCTACCATGTTAAAACTGATATCCATTATAAAATGGTGTTGCTATACTTATGTTAGTCCTAGGAGAGAGACATGGTATGTGGGATAATATCTTTTGTTATGGGGTGCAGTCACAAAAGACCACTTGGGGACTGTATTCTGGTGTGCTGATAAAGCCACTGGCCCTCACCTGCTTGCTCTCTGGTGCTCTTCACCACCCTGTGCTGCTGGGCCAGATCTCCTGGTCTCCCACAGACATGGCACAGAGCTGAGATAATCGTCCCTCCCTTCCCCACAAAGAAAAATGCAGACACTGAATCGCTTCATGCTCTGGGAGAATGCAGTTCAAGGACACAGCATCCAGGAAACCAATTGCCAAACGGGAACAAAACCCCAAATAAATCAGTCTTTCACTGTGTGAGTTTCACATGTTGAAAGCTCATTCAAGTAAGCCCCCTTTAACAATTCAAGAAGGATGTACACACTGATTGTTTCCCCCAGGTAACAATTATTTACACTGGGCTTGAAAGGAAATAAAAGTAATTTTATTAAGTACAAACAGTAGGATTTAAGTGGGTGCAAGTGAAAACACAGAGCAAAGCAAAACACAAAATTAAAAGAAAAGAAAATGCATGCCGAGTTCTAATACATTAAAGCTTATTACACACTTACCCTAACACTGTTCTTATTTTAGGCAAGCCTTCAAGCCAAAGAAGATCTTTTACTCTCTCTGGGGTCTCCAGCTGTCCTTTTGGGTGTGTCACACCAGCCAAGGACAAAGAGACTGATAGCCTTACAACTTAAATAGACTTCCTTTTGGGCATGAATCCTTTGTTTCTACACCTCCCCCCTTCCATGGAAAATTACCTGGTTAAACTGGTATACCAGTATAGGTTGGTTTGGTCACATGTTGTCCTAAGACCAACTGCTGCTTAGACTTAAAGGACAAACAAAACTGTTCTCAAGTCGTCATGTTGATCACCCAGGCATTGAGACTTCCGGGAGCACTATTGAGGTCTTATGTTTGCACATTTAAAATCATAAAGAATGAAGCACCAAAATAAGATATACAGATTCAGTAGATTGTGACATTAAAATGGATAGATTACGTGAGGTATTTTGTCTGAAGTATCTTCAAGTTACATATATTTGCGTATATAAAACTGCTCCCATGGGGGGAACAGTTGCATTTTTTACCTATTCTATCTTATCTGTGAGCAACACACACATATATTAAAACTGCAATTGATTTACTTGCTTGAAAAGTTTGTCTTTTATGCTGCATAATTGTACAAGTTTTGCAATTCAAACAAAAGCAGCTTATTCAGTACCATGGGCATTCCTTTGTTAAACATACAGATCCTAATCCTGTGAACATTTATGCACATGATTAACTTCATGTATGTGAATGTGCATAAAGTTATTTATGTATATTTGTATGATCAGAGTCTTCATGCCTGCTTTAGCAAGCACTTGCAGCTCCAAATGAAGTCAGTTGTGCAGTTGATCAGCACTTCTGAAAATTAGGACCCAAGTGCCAAATACATTTTAAAATGTTGAACAACATTTTAAAAGCCTTGGCTGTGATGATTTAGTTAGGGTTGATCCTGCTTTGGACAGGGGGGCTGGACTCGATGACCTCCTGAGGTCTCTTCCAGCCCTAGGATTGTATGATTCTATGAACTGTAGTTCCAGTTGATTTCAGGATATGGGCCCCAATTCAAAACCTTCTAAAGTGAATTAGGAGTCCTTCCATTGACTTGAACAGGCTTTAACTGGAGTCCTGGGGCCTTAATTTAACTTAGGAATCTTTACTACCTCTCAGTTTTGTCATAAAATATATAATAGAATACGAAATGGAAGTGAAGAAACTTTCTTTGCCCTTACAGCATAATAGAGCAATATAGTAAAGAGAGTGTAGTGCTTTATTACACCATATGTATGCCCATATTGTCTTTTTTATTGCTACTACTATTGATGGCAAGCAGCATAGATTTGATTTAAACATGATTTAAATCGCCAAGAAAAAAATCATTGATTGAAATCAAGTTTCTCACTGATACTACTTCACATATTTGTTTAACAATGGTGCAAATCTGATCACTAAAACATGTTAATTTAAAACTCAGTACAGCATTTACAATATCTAAGAGGTTATACTTAGGTACCTACTACTGGTTCATTGGGTACATTGCTCCACCCACCAGTACAGCATTTGCTGCACCTATCAGTACAGTGTTTTACAACATCTAAGAGGGTATACTCAGTTTGATGTTTTATAAATCTAACTTTATTTATTAAAAAAATTGATTTTTATCACCCTCTTGGCAATCATAGAGACTTGTTTAGATGAGTTATCCTGTATTCAGTGATTATTTGATTAGGACTATGAAATGCAAGACACTGCTTAAAACTTGCTAATACACTGATCAGAATAAAGCAGATAGACAATGTTCTAGTGTCTTGAACTGTCCACTGTCATTATTTTCCCTCATTTTAGCACACTTCTTTCTTTGGAACATCATGGCCATGAACCATGATCTGCCCAGTCTAGGGTTGTAAAATCCCATTTAATCAGTTAGTCACTTAAACAGGATCCTGCGGGCAGGGGTTGCTCAAGTCAGGCCTGCTGCACTGGAACACCTCCAACCCGCTGCGCGGTGGACCCAGCCAGGTTAACTGATAAGCATCAGTTAGGGTGATTCTTACTGGGTTAACTGCTGATATTCCTAGTCCAGGCAATTCAGTATAGAAAAGGAAAAGCACAATAGACTGGATTTGTCAATGTTTTCTACTTTATGTGATCATGAACACTTGTGTAATCAAAAAGGTAGCTATTTACACCTTGCATTGGTGTAAATTTCTTTGTGTAGGAGTTTCACCATTAAGAGTAAGGATCACTGCCAGCAGCACATTTTCTTATTGGGTGAAAAATGAGGTTCTAAGCAGTACTGAATTGGACCTTATGTACCTATGCAAAGTATTTTCTCCTAGTGCATAATGCTTATTGGTAGATGGGAAATGCTTGAAAATGTACAGCTGTCGGATGTTTCAGTGTTGACTTGTAAAACCTGGATTTTCTCTTTTAAATCAGATCAGCGCTATTAACTTTATGGTAAGAAAAAACTTTGTTTAACTGAGGAAATATCAAATAAAACTTAATGACACCTTTAGTTTAATTAAACTCTGATTTCCAAGATCTCCTCTGCAACTTGCTTATTTCCTTCTATTTTCTCCTTTCATAGCACAAAATACTGTGGTTAGTTCAGTTGCATTTGTTTGTTTTTCAGAATGGGCTACAACTGATGTTCTGTTCTATACCAGTCAGAAGAACCTTGTATGCCATAAGGTGTTTCTCGCCACTTTTGCTAATAGAAAACATTCTGAGCTAGTTTATACAGAACAAGATCCAAGGTAATATCTCTCAAACATATTAAACTTTCCCTTATATATTCTTGTATATGTGTGAAGATATATATACACGCATAATTGCTCAGAAAAATCTAGAAAACGTTTTCTTTTACATTATGTATAAAATCATGTAAAGCCTATTTTTTTCTGGTACTGATTATCACATGCGTTTGGAGAAAGTACTCTGTCCAATTTGTAAGCAGCTTAAAAATGTAATTGTTCTCAGTTACGTGCTTCATGATTCATAAATGTCAAAGTCAGTTTCAGGTCAAGATGTTCTTTGGTGAAAACCAGGTTGATTTTTTTTTCTAGTTACATTTGTTAAAAAAAGAATGTTTGGGCTAAGCCTTGATGCTGTGGGTAGTGTGGCAAATGGCCAACACTACTGTAATGGGTCCTCCTGCACTTTTCCGTGGTGTGGCAGTTCAGCATGTCACCCCTTATCCCGATTCTTTCGCATTGAGGGCTCTGCTAGTGCCCCAGGGAAGCGGGATAGGGAAACGAACAGAACAAGTAATCATCAAGCAATCCATCTCGTCACCCATTCTCAGCCTTCCCATCCTGGCTAAAAGCCATTAATGACCTTATAATCCATGAATATATCTAGTTCTATTTTTAACCCTGTTGTAGTGGTGGCCTTCAACATCCCCTGGCAGGGAACTCCACAAGCTGACTATGTATTGTGTGAAAGAATGCTTACTTTTGTTGTTTTTTTAAGCCTGCTGCCTATTTTCATTTGGTGACCTCTAGGAGTAAATGACATTTCTTTATGTATTTTCTGCATGCCAGTCATAATTTTATAGCCCTCTATCATACCCCCCTTAGTCATCTCTTTTCCAAGGCAAATAGTCCCAGTCTTATTACTCTCTCCAGATATGGCAGCCATTCCATACCCCTAATTATTTTGTTGCCCTTTTCTGATATACGGCAATCACATCTGCACACAGTATTTAAGATGCTGTACAGTGGATTTATAAAGGAGTAAACATATTTTCTGTCTTCTTATGCATCTCTTTCTGCTTCTTTTTTTCACTACCACTGCACATTGACTAGATGGTTTCACAATGACCCCAAACTTCCTCTCTTTGAGTGGTAATGGCTAATTTAGACCCCATCATTTTATATGTATAGTTGGGAATATGTTTTCCAATATGAATTACTTTGCATTTATCAACATTGAATTTCATCTGCCATTTTGTTGCCCAGTCCCCAAGTATTGTGAGATCCTTTTGAAGCTCTTCACAGTCTGCTGTGTACTGAACTGAGCGGTTTTGTATCATCTGCAAATTTTGCCAACTCACTGGTTACCCCTTTCTCTTGATCATTTATGAATATGTTGAATGGGATTGGTCCAAGTACGTATCCTTGAGGGACACTGCTAGTTAACTCTCTCCATTCTGAGAGCTGATCATGGATTCCTACCTTTTGTTTCTTCTTTGAGGAGTGTCCCTGTGGGTGCTCCACCTTAGGGCTTGCAGCGCCGTGGCGTGTCTGGACGGAGATTTTGCTGGCAGTGCCCTCCAGTGTGCTGCGCATGCGTGGTGGTCAGCGCACACAGCACCACTACCACGTATGCGCGGCAACCGGCCCTTTCAGGTCCTTCTCTACCGCTGTCAGCGTCGGTCGGAACCGCAGTAGCTCTCCTGTCTTTTCATAGCAGTTAGTAGTTTTTCCAGTTATAGGTAGTTAGTTACCTAGTTCGTAGTTAGTTCAGTTTGTTTTTCTATTGATAGTAGTTTTAAAAAAAACCAAAAACTTTTTCTTAGACTCCAACTTTTCTGTCTAACAGTTTCCAGTACCCTGGGAATGCCTGGCTCCCCAGGTTTCATACGTTGCCTCTCCTGCAGGCTATTGATCCCCATTTCTGACAGTCTAAGTGTGTCCGCTGCTTCGGTCAGGGGCACATCAATCACAGTGCGAGCATTGCAAACAGCTCACAGCTCGCACAAGACAGGCCTGCGAACTCCAGCTGAAACTTCTCTTGCTGGAGAATATGGTGAGCCCACCTCGGATCCAGAGCAGTCATCCCTCCCCCCCATGCCAGCCATCACCTCAGGCCATGTCCAAGAGGACCACACCGGCTAGCCTCCCCATGGGAGACTCTTCCTCTGAACATGCTAGGAGGAGATCCCACTCAAATAGCAAGGGTGATTCTCCCTCAAAAAAACCGGGAGCAAGCACAGAAATTGCCCCCTGCTCCTACACCCTTCTGGGCTTCAAACAAGGAGGCTCCAGGACCATCAGGCACACAGGTGTCCCAAGGGTCAAAGGACCTGCACAAGTCTGCCAAGCCCTCAGGCAAGGCTAAGACAAAGTCAGCACCGTCGGCACAGACAGTGCATATGCCGGCGCCGTGAACAGAGAAGACCAAGCAAGCAGCAGCCACGGCACCACCAGCACCAAAAAAGGTTAAGTCCCAGTCGGCACTGTCGGCATCTATAGCACATTCGATACCGAAGAGCCACGAGCATGTGGCACCGACTCCTCCTTCCTCGGCACCATCAATACCACGGGCCGCATCGGCACCACAGATCATAGCAGTAGCTACACCCCTGCCTTAGTTGGCACCACAGGCACCAAGACCACCTCCATTCACCACAGAGGAGTTTCTTAGAACATCCTCGGTACCGACAACACCTTTATTCGGCACTGACAGCACTCCTGCATCAACCAGTTTCCTGCACTCACTCACTCCACACTCAGCACTGCCCTTTGTAAGTAACGATGACGACTCAGTAGTGGGGTCGCACTCTCCGAGACATTCATCCTCTAAACAGCCACAGCCTCCAGCACTGATGGGCGCAACAACCACCTCTCCAATGTTTGCCCCCACCCATGCCTCTACCACCCAATTGGCTCTATTGGGACCCGTGGGCGCCGTATCGGGCCCAACACCAGCAGCAAGTACCAGAGCAGCAGCCCATGATGACCACCCCTGCATTGAGGGCACCGTCTCTTCCAGCCACAGACGGGTCACTGTTATCAGGAAAACCAAGAAATTGCCTCCAGTGATGAGAAGTCATCAATCTCCTCTCACCCTGTGACACACACATCATCCTCCTCTCCTGGTGACACCCTCATGCCACCCTCCTCCCACCCCCAGTGGGTGATGACTTTCGCTCCTTTCAAGAGCTATTCAAATGAGTGGCCGACATCCTTGAGGTCTTTCTGGTGAGTCTTCCGGAGACTCAACACAAGCTGACCAGCATACTTCACGTAGCTCCAGCTTCAAAATTGGCTCTACCTATGGATCCTGCTCTGATGGATCCTGACAAAATAATATGGCAGACACCAGCCATAATCTCTCCAGTCTGCAAGAGGTCTGATCGTAAATATTACATGGCACCACGGAGCGCAGACTTTCTTTTCTCTCATCTGGGCCCAAATTCTATAGCGAAGGACACGGTAAATCAAAGGGACAAACAGAGCGCAACACATACCACTCCCTTCAACAAGGACTGGAAACAATTGGACCTTATGGGGAGAAAAGTTTACTCTTCGACATCACTGCAACTGCTCATAGCAAATTATACAGCCATGCTGGCGAAATATAACCACCACGTATTTGAACAGTTATCATAATTTATTGAAAATGTATCAGAGGATAAAAGACAACAATTCTCCGCCAACGTTAATGAAGGTATGCTGATCTCACAAACGGCCCTCCAAGCAGCACTCGACACATCAGACACGGCATCACGCTCCATTGCTACAGCGGTCATCATGAGGAGGGCCTCCTGGCTCCACCTCTCCGGGTTTCCACGGGAGGTACAGGCCACTATAGATGACCTTCCCTTCCAAGGCTTCAAGTTGTTTGCCGACACAACTAATGCATCTCTCCATTCCCTAAAGGATTCAAGGACGACGCTAAAAGCTCTCGGGATCCACGTACTTGTAGCAAAGCAGAAACAAAATCGATACTTTAACCAAAGGTACAAGTCTTCTCCTTTCAATCAGAACCAGAGGCACTTCGAAAACAGGAGAAGACAACACCAAACCAAATGCAGGCAAACAACTGATCAACCTGCAGTATCGTAACCATCCACATCCAGGCAAACCTTTTGAAAATCAGGTCAAAAGTCCAATACCACCCCCTCATACAGAACATCTTTTATCACCCCTATTCTTCCAACACCTCCTCCTACCCTTCTTACATCGATGGTCAGAAATCACGTCCGACAAATGGGTGCTAGAAGTTGTAAGAGCGGGATACTGCATCCTTTTTACCAAATTCCCCTTTACCAATCCTCCCTCCCCATCCCTCTTCAGGGACCCATCTCACGAGAGCGTCCTACGTCAAGAGATCGACCACCTCCTCCACCTCGGGGCCATAGAACTGGTACCCCAATGTCACAAGAACAGAGGTTTTTACTAACAATATTTTCTCACAACAAAGAAATCGGGGTTGGAGACCCATCCTCGATCTCAGGAGACTCAACTGTCATGTCCAAAGAGAACGCTTCAAGATGGTGACCCTAGCTACCATAATACCAGCGCTAAACGAGGGGGACTGGTTAGTGACTCTCAACCTTCAGGACACTTATTTTCACATAGCTATACATCCAGCACATCGCAAGTACCTCAGGTTTGCACTAGGTCCAGCACACTTCCAATATGTGGTGCTTCCCTTCGGACTGTCTACAGCCCCAAGGGTCTTTTCAAAATTCAAAGCAGTCATGGCAGCTCACCTCCACGAAAAGGAGGTAGACATATTTCCCTATGTTAATGACTGCTTGATCAGAGCGCCTACAATGCAAGAGGTCATCTCAGGCCATGTCTTTATTCCAGAATTTAGGGCTCCGAATCAACATAACCAAATGCAAGCTCTAACCAGCGTAGACCATAGAGTTTATAGGAGCCCATCTGGACTGCACCCAGGCAATAGCCTCTCTTCCGTACCACTAATTCCAAGCCATCAAACAGCTTGTCGAAGTGATGCAACAAGCCCACAAGTTCTGGCAAGAACTTGTTTATGCATTCTAGGCCACATGGCAGTGGCCACA